TAGGTATTATAGAATAATTTTAAACTTTATAAGACTTAATATTAGCTAAAAGACTTTAAATCAATAGAAATTATGACTTGTCGATTAAATGTATATGTCAAACTATAAAAGTAAAACTATTTGGATATATATATATATATACTAATATGATTACTAAAAAAATGATTTGAATTATCAACAATATTTAAGTATTTATTTAGTGTTATTCAATATGTGTTGCAGGCAGCACTTTCACGGAGGCAACAACACCGGATAAATAGAACTTGTGAGTAATCCTCACTTTTTTCTAAAATCATTTCAAAACTGGGAGTATGGATATATTTGAAAAGACACTATACACGAACACATTTTAAAAATAAAAGTATTTTTGAATAATATTACTAAGCTCTAAAGGTAATCTTATATGCCTTAGGGTGTATTTGCTGAGTGACACGTTGTCTGTCTTAATTGCTTGATAAACGTGGAACTATGTGTGGCTATAAGCCATATTTGAATTTATATGTGCATGCTTAAGGGCCCGAGGCGACTAGTTGAGCAAATGTGTCATGAGCCGGCGTAGGGCTTGGCCATGTCCATTGCCAACAGTGGCTGTTCAGGATTCTTTTGAGATATCCGGTCGCGACATGGCGTGTTGGGTAGAAATTGAGTTGAATTGATACCTAGTCAGAAAGGTCGCTCCTTCTGACAGCTTATCAGGTTTTTATGGCCTGAATGGAATTAACGGAATCGGCTAGGGTTAGGGTTTAACCATTCTTGCCATATCGACTTTTGGATAAACTCTTCCTTTTGCCTTGGAATTTGCTTTTATCGATTGCTTGTATGGAATAATATGCTCTTCTCTATTATGTGTTCCCATAACTATATTTTGAAATGTTTGAATATTTCTATTTCAAAGTACATACCTCTAATAGTGTGGAACTCACTGAGCTCGGCGCTCACCCCTTTATTTTATATAAATATCCCTCCCAGGAGCAGAGTCACGAGGAGAATAGAGCCAGATGAATTATCGTATCTAGGAATGCTTGCTATAGAATTGTTACGCTAGTCTTTAGTTTACAAGTTGTAATAACGTTAGGGTTATGGTTGTGTTACCTACCTTGTTTCCGCAAATAAGGGACCTGTACTATTGTACCCATTGGCAGTTGCCAACATCTAATCAAATATCTCTGTACTTTATGTTACGAGCCTTTTACCTTGATAGCTTTAGCGGTTAGCCGAAGTGGTAACACCCCAACTCATCGATCTAGAATTATGTTCGTAAGCAAAAATAAAAAATAAAATTAAAATAATAATAAAAAAAGGGACCGATAAGCCGGATTGTTACACTGTCGCTAGTACCGATTGGCACAAACTCATTATCCCTGCTAGTGATATCCTCTGAGGATGATTATAATAATGAAAAAATTAAAAGAAAACCCTTCTTTCCCTTCTTCCCCAACGTCTACTCCTCTTCACATGAACAGGGGCGCCCCACCACCACTCCTTCATTGAGATCCACACCACACAACCATTTTCTCTGCCAACCATAATTAGTTCTCCTCTACAAAATAAACAACAAACAGTTAGCTCCGAATCCAATGATCACCAGATCCAACCCTAACAAAAAATAGCTAGTGAAGATTGCACTCTCCAATTCTATCTCTCTCTCTCCTTCTCTTGGTCCATCGTCATCACCACCCTCTACCAACAACAATCACATACACATTAAACTCTATCTTTTCACTATCTTTCTCTCTCATGCACACACACTAACACCTTTTTTCCCTCCTCGGCTCCACATCCTCTTCTCTCAGATTTAAAACAGTCGGGTTTCTGGTTGGGGCTTTTCTCCATATTCAATTTGAGTCATGTTTTTCATTTCTTTTTCTTTTTTCCTTTTTTTTTTGCTTGGCAAATTAGTAAAATTTTAAAAAATTGAAGAGTAGAGTCAAATAGACCCAGGGGTAGCAGGGTGGGCAGTCGATGGTAGATGGTGGTGGCAGTGGAAGAGGAAAGATTTTATAATTTTTACTTTAGGAGTTAAATATTTTGGTATTTTTTAAAATTTGTTTTATTATGATAAAAACCAGAATTTTCCCCATTTCTGTTTAAAAAAATTGGTCAAAGATCAGTGGGTCCACAATTAGTAAGAAAATCATAAAATATTAAACTGTTGACGGAGAGATGACTTGAGCCGTTAATTTCTTGAAAGTTCTGTTAAAAAGATTAAAATTGATGAGATAAAACTTTTAGGGGACCAATTTTGTCGAGGCAAATTTTGTTGAATGGGTCTCGCTACCCGCCAAACTTTAGCGACCAAAAGGGAGTTTTGTCCTTTAATAATTATCCAATTTTCCTTGAAGGCTAATGATTCTATCACATAAAATTCCAAAAGTAAAAAGTAGTGATTAGTAATCCAATCACTCTAATTATTATATTGATGCTTAATTCCATGTCATTGCAGTTAAAGAAAAAAAGTTATTAAGATAGTTTCAATCTATTACATGTAGAGGCGCGCAGTTGATCCTTAGCCCTCGACTTTGTACAAGGCTGTGGTTGTGATAATTTCTCCCAGTTGGATTGTAAGATATTGGGTCTTGACTAAGATCCTTGGTGGTGTTGGGATTATTGCAATTGAAATTCTTTCTAATGACACCGATATTAGAATATGTATGTTATAGATTGGGTGCAATACTTTTGGGTGTGTTAGTAGATTTAAAGTTTTTGAGACACATACTCTTGCTAGAAGAGCTGCCTCTACTGTTGCACTGCATTTCTTTTTATGTTAATACAAAAGGTTATTTTTTTTCTTTTTTTTAAAGAAAATTACGAAAAAAGAACTCCAGACAAAACTACTTTAGGAGCTGATTAACCGCCACAAATCCGAACAAGATAAAAGCATCCGTTCTTTATACAAAGAAACTCTTAATAAAATTGATCAAAATTACAAACACAATACATTTTGGTCTTACCACTAGTCAATCTACATATACATGTACACTACAACACATAGAATAATATAACATAGTTTAACTTAACACAAGATCAAGGCGGCTATAAAGTGAATAATGACCCGACATATTATACTATCTTTGTCTTAACACCAACGTAAACATGCATTTTACCTAATTCAAGTTTTGCTGGAAGCTGATACCAAAATGGCCATTTTTACTATTGGCATATCCAAGGTCCGTATTTTCCTAAGAAATGGAAAAACAACTCTTAGATTCAAGAGATTTAAAGTCAAGAACAACTTAATGCAATAGTTCAAATACATTTCCATGACCTTTTGTTTTGTCATACAGGTGCCCAGAAAAAAAATATCAATAAGCATACAAACTCACCAGAAGCCTAATTTGTAACTCCAAATCACAGCAAAGTAATCAATGCAAAGTAAAAAACTTCAAAACATACACTAGGTTAAAAGTTATTGTAATGAATGAAGAATTAATCAGCAATAGCTTGCATATATAAAGCCATGTCGAGAAAGTGAAAATTACCTTTACTTCAATAAATAAATAAATAAATGAACATTCCTGCCAAAGAGAAATCGACAATTATACAAAATGCATCACAATTTGCAAAATTCTACCTGAACCCTTCTGCAAAGGTTCATTAAGGATGGTAGTAAAAATCAATTAAAATGATAAATTTTGTAGTAATCATGAATTGAAACTATAAACTTACCACATCTTCACAATGTTTCTTAAAGTTCTAAATGCGATTGATATTCCTCAATCTTCATTGAGCTTAGAGACTAACTTTACCATGGAACATTCTAAGTCATAATACTAACAAAAGATTTTGGGGACGGATCAACTCATACCGTCCACTATATACTCAATCAGATAACCAAAGTACACAAATCACTACCTAGCTATAAAGCACACTAATAGTTTGGGTGAAGTGTGTTGAAGATATTAGAGCTCCTTTTCTCATAAGAGTATTATGTAAGTTGAAGTATTAATGTGATTTTCCGTACATGGCAATGAGAACAACTCGCAAACTACAATGTAAATTATTTTTCTTGACGGAAAGAGTATTATGTAAGTTGATGCATTTATGTGGAATTTTTTTTTGACGAAAGAGTATTATGTAAGTTCAAGTATTAATGTTATTTTCATACATGGCAGTGATTATAATTTGCGAACTGCAATGTTGACTATTTTTTCAACAGAAAGGGTGTTATGTACACTGATACATTAATATGATTTTCCACACATGGCAATGGCGAAAAAAAGTTTAAATGGTTATTTGTAACGAACATCTTATGTAACTTAACAAACGGGTCAAGGTAAACAAGTAGTGGTATTAAATAATAGATGGTACTAGCTATGGGTGTGAAAGTGTAATGATGGTGTAGGTTTTTTCATTGGTTGATGGATGGATGAATGTCGTGTTGGATGGTTCGTTTATTAGCCATCTGGTAGAGCATTTGAAGGCGGTCTCATTTTGGGATCATATTGAACAATGGATATGAGGGTTTGTGATGAATATTGTTGTTTATATAATTACGAGTTCTGATGTATGAGCTCTGTTTAAGGTGTTGCAATTAGTTTGGGATATTAGAATCCACCAAGTTATGTGAGGTTGATAATTTACGCATTGTCCAAATGGTGATGAAGAAAGAGGTTGGTATATATGGAGTGTTAGTTCGAGGTATTTATGAGATGATTGGACGAGATTGACATGTGGAAATAAGACATATTTTTCATGAATTAAATTTTGCGACGGACTTTTTTGCATCCTGAGCTGTGTTTGAGTCTTTAGGTTTGCACTAACTAGGCTTTCTACTATATGGAATAAGACCGTGGTTGGAGTATGACATTATTAGTGTCTCCTATCCTCCGAACATTTTAATGGCTTAGGAGCAAAATGACTTATTTTGTTTGATATCTCTTCATCAATTGTTGCCTCTTATATTATGAATATATCCTAATTTAGAAATAAATTGTTTGTCGGGCCAAGATATCGAGATGCGGTAAAAAAGAAAGCAGTGTCCAACGGCAATCCCTATCCCAATGCAATCGGTATCGGACTCTCAGTCGAGAAAGACGGTTGAGGTTCAAACAGAATCAGCCCCGTTTCCCACTATCCCAAAAGAATCTAAGGTCTTTGTAACTTCGAGAGTCATAAGATCTCGACATTCTTGCGAATAGTTTTTCCATTGCTTCTTACTTTTTATTAGTAAACAAGAGGAGAAGGATGCAAAGAACGTAGCAATCACGTACGCAGCCTCTAAAACGGCCCACATTGTTGGTGAATCTTCTAATTTTGTAAGGAAATCAGGGTTCAAGTACATCAATGAAGACCTTGATGGAAAAACATGTAAACATACATGTAAAGATGTTAAAAAGCCCCTCAGAGAGTTGGAAACTGTTGAAGAGGTCAAATCATCATCAGAGAGGACAGGAATGAGCAGCTTATTTGGTGACTTTCATTTTGATTTTGGGATGTCGTTCTCTCCTTTACCTGATGGATTTTGGATAGATCCTAACTTTCTTTCAGATGTTTCAATTCTTCCCAAGACTCCAGCTCAGGATCTGGCCAGTGGAAGCCGAAATGGGCAACTCTTGCTTGATGCGTATAAGGCATGGTGCGAGCATAAGAAGTATATGCATGTTTACAAGATGTTATTGAACTCTGTCTTCGAGAAGTTTGTCTTCAAGAATGGAACACTACTTAAAGGATCCGCGCAAGTGAAGATATCTGATGTGGAGAAAAAATCTGAGGTGCAGAAATCCGTAGAAGTAGACCAGGGGCAGAAAAGACAGATGAAAGTTAATTTTAGCCCCTCGGATCTTTCTACCATTTCCACCAAAGGTATACCTGATTTGATCCATTTACTGCTAAATTCTCATGGATTGGACGTCCTTAAACGATATGACGTGATTCTCAGGATGGGGCCCCAACCTACGTGTTATTTGATTATGGAAGGCCTTCCATATGGTTTGGTCATTGCAAGGACCGTGATTTCAAGTCAATTCCCAGCTGTTACTTTTCACTATATTTGAAACTTTGTTTGACAACCAATGGGTAACTTTGGGTATTGATAAGCTTTGCTTCTGGACCCCTCTGGGCCCTGTTCATCATTTGCTTTCTTCTGGAGATGTGTTTATTTCTTTTTGCTTGATTTAGAGTTCAACTTTAAACTTCTCTAATATATTATATATTATTTTTGGATAAAAGAAAACAAAATCCACAATATGCATCAATAGATAGGATACTTATGTTTGGGATAGATTTTCACCAGTAAATTATCATACCTATTTTTAAAACGTTGTTCAATTTTTCTTTGGGCAAATTATACAATAAATTTTTCTAAAAATACCATCAAATTGCACGCTTTTGTTTGAAACTATAAGTTTCAGTCGTTACTATATGGTACTATACACTTACAAAGTGTTACTATTCCTTTTTCTAGGAGAATTTCATCAAAAAACTAATGGTCAACCTTAATTCACCTTACGTTCACACGAATTGACCGATGGGCATTTTGTGTTCAAATTAAAAATTGACTTTTGTCTTTCTTAGCACATGACATGTGAATTTTAAGATTGAAGTGAATTTTTGATTTGGACCAAGATGCCCTTTGGTCAATACACGTGCTTGTTGACCACGTCGTTGTTGAGCACTGGTACCCTCCTCGGGGACCCCAAGCCAAGTGGTCAAAATCTCAATGACCTCTTACTCCTCCAGGACATACCGGATATTATGGTGCAAATATCAAAATTATCACCATTTAATATTTCACCGTTGTTCAAATCAGCAATGATTTGTTTGGTGGAAGCCATCTATCCAACAACAACACAATACACAAAAAAACATTTCGATGCACATATATAATATTGCATCAACAATTATATAAACCAATTATAAGGAGACCAAATAATATAGAAAAAAAACTTTGTTGTGCTCATAATCACATTGCATAAAAAATTTGTTCTGGAACTTAGAATTTCATACAATTTTGTTACAAAAAAAAAAAAAACCACAATCGAACATTACACACATGGTGACTCACAATACATTTCATTCAGAAACCTTACTTTATACTCCCACTGTTTTTTATATTAAAAAAATATGTGGCAGCAATACTACTAATTCACCAAACAGAAGCACAATTCAAAGAAAACTTGCTGGCAACACAGCAAAAAACAAATGATTCCAGGTTTAAGTGCAAAAATATAGCGTCCAGATTTCAAAAAAAAAATTATCATGCTATCCTAATCATGTTCTGAAAAATAATAAATTTCGGCCACACTCGAAAAAGTCGGCAGCATTATCTCCCATTGTCTTAAATCAATCCAAAAAATAATTATGCATTTTGGAAAGAATTTGTTGAAAGCAATTAACTTCAGATTTAAATCCAATCAACCGAATGATTCGGTCATACTGAGAGCATGCATATGTCTCCAATATTTTTTTTTCGAAAAAAAAAGATCATGTAAGCAAGATCGAGGACAAAAAAAACAATTTCCGTCACTCAAAAAAAATCCAATCAACCGCAATTTAAATCTTACAAGAGTAGACATATGTATATGAATCAACAATATATATATATATATATATATATATATATATACCAATCAATGATAGTCCCAAATTTGGTCATACATATACTCAATTGATACCACAGTTCATGTCTCTTAATCAAAAGTACAAATTATAGGCATTGAGATCTCCAATGCTCAATATACATGGCATCGGCAATCAAATTAATATAGCCACATATCCGCAAACAATTAACAAACCAAAAATTGATATTCACGTTCAAATATTGGGAGAACACAAGCCATGCTCTGATACTAATGAAGGAAATTACTGACCTTACACCGATGCGGAAATTACCAAAGACTTGCCCTTCTCGATACTTTGAACCTATGAGAGATCCAACCTTGTTTCCACCAATCAAGTATCTATGTCGATCAATTGATAAGAACCCTACTCTCTATATAGTTGTTACTATTTTCTATCTATCTCTGGAAAAGTAGGTAGTATTGTTTTTAACAAAGAGGAGAGACACTCTAGTTTCTTCTGGAATATTATTGTCGCAGTTTGTCTATTAGGACAAACTAACATTTGTCTTCTTAGTTATATATATGAGATGAAATTAAAAGTAATGAATATTATATACCAGACTTGGTTAAGGAATAAAGTGGTAGAGGAAAAAGGTAGGAAAAATTCAATTACGATGAAATTGAGTCTCTGGGAGTGCAGAACCTGCTATTTTTTATGGATCGCAATGGTGAAATGACCCTTCGTTATGTGAGTATTTTAACATATAGGAAATTATACACGCACAAACAAAAAAAAATTTACCTTTGTTCACACATACTCAAAGCTCAAGTGTAAGCCCGTGATTGTGTCATGCAAGTGAAGATCAATGTCACAAGAATTGTAATGATTTTATCTATTAAAGCACTCTAAGAGATTTTATAAAATTTGAGGAAATGACAACAATTTATTATGCAACTTGCACATCAATAGCTATTTGAAGTGGAATGATCTTGTTCCATGTATTTTTAAGGGTGGCATCCTTCATTTGTCATGATGAAAGAGCTTCATGCACTGTTTTAACTGTCAATTCAACTGAGGCCGAGGGAAGCCATTTGATTACATCAGCTTCATTCAAAAATTTATGCTAAAGGGTCATCAAAGTTTACAATAAATTAGGTGGTAGTTTAGAGTTAAATTCAACAAGGTAAAATTCCTTTTGCTCATAAAACTCTCTAATACTCAGGGTCTCTTAAGATGGCTTCTCACGATGTCCTAGATAACCCCCAAACTTGACCACTTATCATAAAAGCCCCGATCTCCACTATAAATCAGCACTTTTGAATGCAAAGCAACCACAAAATCAATCCTATTGATTCTTTTCCACGATGCCTTTTGTCCTTGCCGATTCTGACAAAGATGACATAAACGTAGCCGACATCCACTTTCTATTCTTCACTTCAATCAAATTTTAACAGAGAAAGCATTTTTGATGTCCTGTACCTTCTGCAATCCAATTTTTTTTTTCATAGGTCGGATAAGTTAGTCTCCCACATGGGCGCCAGTGTCTCTTGACTTGTTCACTTGAACGTTGCAACAAAAATTTCTGACCTATGCTTTCAAGTGCATCTAGAACTTCTCGCTTGCCTGAGTCATGATTGAACTAGTGTATATCCTTGTTGTTGATTCTGAGGCACAAATTTGACACTTCTCTTACTTAGTTTATGTACTTCGAGTCAGTTTGCGGGAGGACTATTAGTTTTTATTTAGGGACAAGCAACTTTCTATGTTTAGGACAGTTGAGTGTCGGACTTGCATGATTGTGACCATCACTTTTAGTCACTTATCCATTGTAATATAGTAGAAATTAGATAGGAATTGTTTAATAATAATTAATTTCCAAATTTCCTCTAATCAGGGACCCAGTTGAAAAATTGTACAAATCGAGAGTAAAAATAGCAACAAGGCAAAAGTTTGACGATTGGACTGAAATTGCAAATCTAAGGGAACTTTCTGCGGGACCATTATAGAGGAAGGTGATGAGTGCATTTCGTACTATGTTTTTAGGCACATATTTTGCCTCTTTACGCTTTAATCTTAGGTCAATTAGTTATTATTTTATGTTTATAGGCTAAACTGGTGAGTTGTGGTAATCCAGGGGTCGAATTGCAAAAGGAACGAAAGGTGGTTAGAAAGTGACAAAAAGGCAAAGTTTCAAGCCAAATTGGAAGATGTTGCAGGGACTAAAGTCCAAGGGCCTCAATCGGCTGAAATCCGACGAGAAGAAGAGGCAAATTGGATGAAGTCTTTGAAGCCAAGGAAAAGGGAAGGTGGAGAAGTGATGCTGCTGACACTATTGAGGGATTGATGTGTTTTAAAGCTGATTAGAATAACCAAATCCTTCAAAAGATGATTAGAGGTAACGGGGAAAGTACAATAAGTATGGGTCTCCTCTCTTTTGCTTAAACTCATCAGGTAAAGAGGAAACCAACTTGGCTAAACTAGGATTACTCTCCCAACCTCTATATAAAGCAGCAGCACCAGAAGATGAAGGCATCGAAGAACAACATCAGAATCAAAGAAGTAGAATAGATAGTGTATTTTAGTTCAGTAGTGTAAATACAGAGTATAACTCTATAAGGTAGACTCAGGGGTGTCTCTTGGGGAAGTGAGAAGTTGACTCTGCAAAATCAGCTGCACTTTACCACACTCCCTGACTTTGCTCTTCCCTTGTTTTCTGTACTACTGTTGTAACCATGAAGAAGTCTCAACACTTGAAATTTGTAGTGTTTGAGCTTCCCTCCATTAGTAGCTAAACTCATTTTATAGGGTCTAATCCCTCAACTCTATATAAGTATATTTTGATTCAAGCTCTCGGATGATATTTGAATGCTTAGTCTTAGAGTTTTAATTATCCTTTTAGATTGAACAGGCCATTCAAACTAATGGTACTCGCATGTTAGGGGAATCCCAAGAGGGTAAACTGAACTTAGAATGTCTAAGATTAATCGGTGATGAGAGGGTAACAGCCCAAGGTTTCAAACAACAACGAGAATTAGTTGTTTGGCACGAGGCAATCATAAGGGCCAAAGTTCTTAATGGCTTAGTAGTATTCTGGTGTTAACAACGAGAGTTAGTGGGCTTGTTGCTGCTAGGACTATTGTTTGGAATAACGAGAGTGACCTTACAGTGTTCTTTTGCCTGATTGAATACAGTTTCATACCACATAGAGAGCCAAAAGAATCATCACATATGCATATAGAGTAGATTGAAGGACGACCCTAGGATGCTATCACTTTGTTAAGTCACAAACTCACTTGCCAATTTTATGTTTTTACTTCTGCTTTGTAGTCTTGTTCTAGATTCCAATTTTCATTAAGTATTTCTCGTCTCTGTGGGATCGACCCTTCTTATCACTTATTACAAGTTTTAAGCAAGTTTATTTTGGTTGTCTCGACACCCATAAGAAGGCTGAGGCAGAGAGGCAACTTCGGGACCATTTACTTGGATCAATTTGTATCCCTTTGGAGCAAACCCTAGAGAGAAAGGAAGAGCCATCCTAGGTGGGTGATGTGGTCCTGAGAATCAGCAAAATGACAAGATGCAGGAGCTAAAATCTCACCTGAAGGTCCAAGCAAAAAAATGACGTCCATGATCCCCATGCTTCTGCTGCCTGTAACAGGAGAAGCGATTGCCATTTGCCAAATAGAGGAGAAGGATCTGTACCTTCGTATATGAATTTTAGGGTTTAGATGAGTAAAGAGTTAGGCAAAAGCTCTGCAACAATGTGTCTTAGGCAGTTTAACAGAGACAGAGCAGGTGAACGTCATTCCAACTCACCTGAGTGATATGTTGTTCTTCCAAAACTTTTATCTTTCACTCTCTGTTTGTTTCCGTTAGCCTTGTAGTCATGTTTTAATCTCAGTTCTTGGTGGACCTTGTATTTAAAATACTTATTATGAGTAGTTAAGTCAATTGCTGGGGTTGAATCTCTCTTTCTGTGTGAAAATACTTTAGATTCATATTCGGATGATTTAAGTGTGCCTAGTTTTAGTTTTTGAATTAAGCTTTTGTGTAGTATGATTAACTAAAATAAGGGCTTCAAGACTTGAAAGGAAAGATTCCACTTCGGTCACCCAATGTTACTTCACTTCTTCCTATCTGCTTTGCCTTTTTTCCATCTCCAATGGTGAAAGTTTATCCCAAATGGACTAGTTAACTCCACACTCTTTCTCTCTTTATGTCACCTTTCACTAATTACAAGCTAAACTTAACTAAAACAATATAAACTCTAAGCAAGGAAATGAAGAAGAATGATCCTCAAATTCATTTCGAATGTAATGATTAAAAAAAAATAATTTTAGTGGACATCAACTAAGAGGCTTGCACAATGATTAGAAAATCAAACTGAAATACTCAAGAATATCTTGAGCGCCTTATTTACACTATTGACCATTTCACCCATATACGTACGTTTTACCCTCCAATTGAGTCCGTTTTTCAAGTGCAAATTAACCCTTTAAATCATTTGAATATTTTTCAAATATATTTACTCAAAAGTTTTTTCGATATTAGAATCACCGAATGAACATTATGTATCAGTCTTGTTTTGATCTTCAACTCATATAGTTAAACCTTATAGTTTCTTTGTGCAAAAAAATGAAGCTGCTTTCGTGCTCAATTTAGCTTGAAAATGGCTTTGGTAAAATTGTAGACCTCGCCCCAAATTTAGATTATTAAAAGAAAATTGAAATTATTTTTCTTTCAATAAGGTAAATGTTTCTTACTCTTTTAAATGGCCAATAATGTCTTTAGAATACAAGGCGAATGTTATTCAAATGTCGTTTCATGTTGCTGAAATTGATTAATCGAACCACTTTATTAATGTTCTTTATTCTTGTTTTCTTCTACAATAATTTTGCACATAAAGGAGAAGAGATAATTTGCATTACCAATTTTTTTCCTATCTAATGGTTAATCACCAGGAATTTGTCACAAAAATTGAAACTTAGGTAACTAATTAGAGAGAGGAAATAAATACATAATAGTGAGGAAAGCCACCATTATATACATAGATCATTGCGTTTTGTTAGATTTTCTTAATTAATCAAGGAGATAGCTATTTTTGAAAACTTATATGGAAATAGAGATGATGAAGGCTACCAAGAAATCACGTTGCCACACTTGCAAGAACACGGAGGGATACGCAATGCTTGAATGAGTAATGTGCTCCCTTGTCAAAGAAATAAAATTAAATTACACTAAATAAAACAATGAATAATGTGCAATAAGAAAACTTCCAATTTGTACAATATTCGAATCACTAACTGATTAGGAAGTGACCATATGTTAAGACTCATTGAGTACTTACCATCTTCAACTAAAATTTATGAGAAACTCAATATTGCCATCATGAACGTTAACTTCTTGAATCACATTTTTTTTTGAAACCAGGCTAACTATTTAGTTTTGGCACGTTGTGTTTTGTTGGACAATGGGAAATTAGCCAAACATAATTAATTAGAAAGTGTATGAGAGCAATCATTATGCAGTGTACCAGGTCACCATGTTAGGTGGATAAATTAAGATATATTATAGTTAGCCTTATTGAAGAATACATTTAATACCATAATTATATTTCTAAATCACCATATTCATAAATTTATTGTTTAATTTTGCACAGTCATTGCAAATGTTCATACTTATAGTGTCAATATTCATATCATTGAATGGAGATTTCCAATTCATTCATTCTAAAATTTATAAATTTTTGTCATGAAAATTGTTAATTTTTGTTGTATACTATAATATTAAAATTATGATATTTCATACATATCCTTACGAATATTTATACCATTTGTCGTGAAATTTGTAATGTAGAGTACTGAAGCCAGCTTTTTTTTCCCTTGAAAATCAACAAGCTTAGTAATGAAATAGATATCCCAAAATATGAAAATTTGTGTTTTTCTTCTCATGAAAACTAATACGTCTTTTTTTATGATTTTTTTTTAGTTTTATGTATGATAATTTATACTTTTCGAATAGAAATTTATTTTTTACAATAAAACAAAAAAGATATATGTGATTTTGTTTTAAATGAATTTTCATGTTATATAACTCAAAATTTCATGACCGAAATTATTAATTTTCATGTTAAATATTATCAATGTTCATACTTAAAATTATAAATTTCATGGCAATAATTTCTATTATGAAATGTGATAAATTTCATGGCAAATATAAGTTCTATTATAAAAGATATCACAAATTCTCACAAAAAAAAACTAAAACATTAATTTTATAAAATAGGGGACTATAACCATATTTAAAACTTAATTTATGTTAAATTATGTTAATAATTAACGGTAATGTCTAATTAAAGATAGAAACAAGTGCACCGTTCTAGGTGAACATGTTGCTCCTTATAAATTGTTTTATGCGAGATGTAAGTATAGTATTATTGCATTCAATAATTAAAATTTATTGATAAGTACTAAAATTATTGTTCATTCACTATTAAATACTAAAATTTAATGCTAGATATGTGCGCGTGTGTAGATAAGGTTAGGTGAGAAAGTTAGTCTCACTAGCACTAATACTCTTAATATTGGGATATGCAATGAATAGAATTAATTATAAGATTTGTGATAATATCTTTTAACAAATTTATAATGGTCATTAATGGATATGATTAAGGCCAATTCCCTATAAATTTGTAAATTGCGAGAGTGATAGCTCATTCTATTCCTCTTCATTCTTCCTTTTTTCCCCCTTTTTTCTCAAGATTTCAATGCCTAGATTACCAAAAAGACCATCAAAGGGTCGTCAAAAGATCGAACTGAAGAAAATAGAGGATGAAGGAGACAGATATGCAACTTTCTCCAAGAGAAAACATGGGATTTTCAAGAGTGTCACTGAGCTTATTACCTCTTGCAAAGCAAATGTTGGGGTGATTATCTTTTCCCCAAAAAATAAGCCCCATTCTTTTTTCCATCCCAATATGGAGAAGGTTGTCGATCGTTTTCTCAATGGAAACGAGTCGGTCGTAAGCAATGTGGATCGAGCCGCTGATGAAATGTTTCAAGAGAGAGATATGGCAATGAACTTGAAGCTTGACCAGCTTGATGTTGATGAAGAGATTCAGAAAGCTAGATCCAAGCAACTAGATGAGATGAATATCCCGTACGATGATAAGGACTTGTTTGGAAAACATATTAATGAAATGGATGCACAAAACTGTGGTTTCCTTAAGTCATCAATGTTAAACTTCATAGCTCAATTGAATAATTAGTCAAGTGACTTGCAGAATAGGCTTCATCATATAATCAACCCCTATAGGGCGCTGTTACATCTCCTTGTATTGGTACTTAAAATTGATTGATTATTGTTATTGGTACTATTGTTATTGTTGTTGTTTTGAGTATGTGCATCATTTTAAGCACACTACTAATTTTTTTATAGAAATTATTATCATAAATATATTTAAGAAATTATTGCATCCTTGAATCTTTTACAACTGAATAATTATCAATGTAAAATGAAAAGAATATGAGTTCCGTTATCAACTTCTCGAACGATGTTTACATGATACAAGTACGTAAGTATAGTATTTTGGATTCATACCCTTATTTGTATTCAAAGAATTGAATAGGTAGAATGTATGACATTTTGCTTACATCATTAAGAACGTTCGAGAATCATATTTTTGAAGGCTAAATAGAAACAAAATCATTTTTTTAAAAAAATCAAAGTAAGCCCTTGATGCGAAATTTGTCCAGTAATCACCATATTAATTACATTGACAAGTACTATAAGTCCAAACCAAAATCACAAGTGATTGGTGTAAAGATAGGGAAATGTTAACTACATCAAGTCCTATTGGGCTAAATTTGTAAATTGTAATTATTGAGAAAAAAGATAAATAAAAATTGTAGAAAACAAAAAAGCCGGATGCAGAGGTGGATGACCAAATCATCGTTCTAATGATTGACGATGAGGACGGAATTGCACAAATGTGTCATCCTTTAAGGGAGCTTCTACATTGTGATTGGAAGGATCAAATGAAGCATCTGCTTAATTAGAGAGACAAATTTTTTGTTTGACCATTTGAACATGTCTGTAGTGTTAACATTACTTCCGAGTATTTTGACATTACATCCAACTGTTTTAGCAATTAGAGAAATCAAGGAAGCAGTTACATCCGACCATTTTAACATTACATCCAACTATTTTGACATTACATCCGACCATTTTAGCAATTAGAGAAATCAAGGAAGTAGTGCCAATCATGAAATGTGTTTGGAACAAGCTTGTGTCGAAGAAAATATATTTGTTCATGTGGAAACTATTCAAAAATTAAATCCTTTTCTCTAAATTTTGCAAAGGATGGGTTCCACTCACAGCCATCATGTTGCCCCCTATACATGAAAGTGGAGGATAGCGTTTATTATGTTTTCTTAGATAGTCAAAAATGTAAACCACGTATGGATTATTTTTCGGTATACTTGGATGGTTTTTACCATTTCATGCAGGTTTATGGACGTACATCCAAGCATGGTATTCGGCAAGGAGTTTTTCATTGGCTAAAAAGGTGGTTATCATGATTATTCGAACTCTTATTTTATGGGAGATATGTGAAAATTGGGAAACAAAACTATCCACGAACTTATGATTTTTTTCACTAATTTTTAAATTCATGCAATCAAAGCTTACGTTTCCATTATCTTAAGCGTGCATAAATTATGAGCTAAGTCAAAGGCTGAAGTGAAAGACGTGGATGAAATTTCAGTGTTAAAATCCTCGGACCAAAGGAAAAGAAGATTGAGGCCGTAAGTTGGCGGACACTGGATCATCGTCAATACTTCCCTAAATACTGATGATTCAACTTTAGGCTCGCTGAGAGCTGCATGATGGATATACATTGCTAGAGATGCACATGGAACTTTAATCAGTGCTGAAAGTAGCTATATCGGGAATGAAGTTAGTTTCGCAGTAGATATAGAAGGGGCATTAAATGGAATAAAATAGTATGAAAACAAAAACATTAGTGGAGTCGCTGTTCAAACAAATAATGCAAATTTGCTCTAACTTCTACAATCTGGTAAGTGTTTTCCTTGGAGATATTGTGCTTTACATGAAGAAATACGAATATATGTTTATCGTAATAGTTTTAAAATTGAGCACATATTTCGAAAAATAAATGCTCTAGCAGATGCACTTTCAAAACAAACATTAAGTGGTAGTGCAATAGATTATGACAGCTACAGTGATCTTCAGTTTAATTTACAAGGTTTGCTAAGTTTAGATCAACGTAGTTTTCCATACATGCATATTAGATAGGTAAGGATATATTTTAATTACATAGACATGGGATTAATTAAGAAAATAATTTTAGCAAATACGAGTTTTTATAGAATTCTTTTAAATTTTTTGTAAAACAGCCTCTTAGCATAGCTTTATATATATATTTATAAGAAAAAGAATTTTCAAAGGATTATCACAGAAATCATTGTAAGACAGTTGTTAGTATTTAGTTGGAATACAGCCATCATGGGATTTCTTAGAAAATTTTTGTACGGCGGTTCTTTCTTTTGAGTAAACATTAAGCACGGCCCCTTGTGCTCTTTATTTTAGATCAATAAAACCAGGAGGATAGCTGCCAGGTTCTGTCCATGATTTCTTTTTTTTAAAAAAAATTACATGTAGTATTATATAAACTGGACTTAGTCATTTAGATAATCATCACAGAAATGATAACCAATTAGCATGACATGATAGCATATGTACAAACTACTATAAGGGACGGAGTTGTTTGTTCCATGTATCAAAATAAATCAATAGTGGAAAATTTTGCTTTCTACATCAAGAATATGAGATTCAACATGTAGGGAAAAAATGAAATCAAAAAAATTTACATGGATTGTCATGAAAGTATCTTTACATTCAAAATTAATTAATTCCATCCATTGTGAAATTATTGTCATAATGGTTATACTATATATTAATTTGGTTCTAATATATAAAATTAATTCTTACATGATAGATAGTACTTTACCTCCACTCTCATATTTCTAAGCAGTTTCGTTTATTCGTTATTTATCCGCGCCTTTGATCTCTAAATATCATCGTAAGGTGAGTTTTTCTCCCACATTTTCTACAAATCCTAGTGGTAACACCTACATTTGACACACCCTTGCCAACCATTTTTTTTGGCCTTCTCATTTCTTTTACGTTAGCATCCGTGAATAAAACTATAGCTCTCAAATCCCACAGGGACTGAGATTCATTTTTGACCTTTTTCTTTAGGCACGATGATTTTCATTTGAATTCAGATATCATTGAGTGAGTTTTTTGGTGTGACTCAAGATACATTCACGACACGCAACGTCAGAAAACCCTCAAGTCATTTTCCGAAATTATCTCGAACCACCCCTGCGTACTTTGCCATCTCCACAATTAAACGTACCATCCAAATTAACTTTTCTTAAACCCACCAATGGAACTCACATTTTAACTCTAAACAACTACATCATTGACAATCGTTAACTAGATACTCATAGTATTCAATTTTAGAAATTCATGGTTACAATATTCTTTCTTGCTAGTCCATTCAACTTTTTTACATATACCATTTTTAATTAAATTTCATGTATAATATTTTTAATTAATTATCCATTTCACATTTTCTAGTAAAGGCGAATCTAATCTGAAATCTTGTCTAAAGTATTAAATTGTTTGCTAAACATGTCTTTTTAATTCTTTTTTTTTTTTTTGACAGGTAGTATTTTTTAAAAATATATAGTGTTGCTTCTCAACTTTTAAACATGTGAAGATGAAGAAATTTGTCACAACACACTAAGACTATATATTTCACCCTTTCCAACTCCTAAGTGCTTTACTTGACAGATGGTTATAATGAAATAATGGTAATGGTACTTCAATTGGTAACAATATAATGCAATTTGGTAGTGGTGTTTCAATCAGTAACAAATTAATCATAGTATAAAAAACTAGTAATTTTGTCCTTTCTTCTTAACATTACAACAACTGAGTGGAACAATTGTTGTTTGGTACTAACATTAAGAACCATATGAGAACTACTATCGAATCTATTTAAGTAATAAAAGAATAAAACTTTATTAAAAATTACTATATCATGTTTTTTTTATACAATTACAATGTTTCATTTTTATATTAATCGCTTTGATTGTAGAACAATTACAAATGCCAAGGTGACTTGGACTAACTTCAATTTAGTTGCAAAAACCTATTTTCCCTATACGTTTCAGGCATTGCTTCACTATAATGTGACGTAAGATGAACACATTTGTCTTCCTCCATGTACTAAATTATCAGAGTACTATCCGATTAACTGAATCTGGCCAAAAAAAAGTTATATTTGCTCAGGAGATCTTTTTTCGGACTTATATGGAAAAAAAGTAGGTGCCTTGAATGGTAGAGTATATGACAGCCATTCATTCATTAGCTTTAATTTCATGTACTAAAAAAATTTCCATTAAGATTTCAACTTCTTTTTACGTTTTAAATTTTATTGATTTGGGTTGGTGACAAAAAAAAAGTCAGCTTGAATCGATTTCATTCCATAGACTCATTTTTAGATTCGACTAAAGAAACACCTTTTGCTTTCAGCATCTTTCTTTTTGGGTTTAGAAGATGGCCTATTATGCCGTGGGTCTACCAGTTCTGAAGGTAAATATGTAACTAAATAATTTTATAGTAGTTCTTATAACAGCTTATTACAGGTTTCTTGTTCTTTTTCTTTATCTTTTTTTTTTTTCCTTTTGAACACCTTTGTTTTAGATTTGGGTAGTTTTCAATCTACTAGTTGAGATTGCAAGGGTTTCCGTTTTGTGTTTGTTTCTTTTGAGATTAATTATGTTTAAAATTCAGATGTTAATTTGGTGTTGTTTTTAAAAGTAAGAGATAGAGTATTAATCTGATTATCTTATTTTGGTGTTTGTGTACACCATGGCATTTTGTGTATCATGGCTTCTTCCGTATCAATGCTTCTTAATCTTTTTTTAAGGCATTAATTTGTTTGAATCTAGTCATTGATAATTTTGTCATCAATTTGCCTGAAATGAAATTATTTAAAGATAATCTCTATTCTTATATATGTCGAATAAATCATTACATACCTTGAAAATTATCTGATAACTCATGGTATTCATTTGGGCATATATTCGACCTCTGACTTTATCTCTGGAGTTCTCACGTGTTTAATATAAGTATCAGTATTTTATATTTTCTTTTGTCGTCTTGATGAAATTAGGTTAGGAAAGAGGTAGAAATTTCCACCTCTAATGTTGTTCTAATGTTGGAGAATGGAAAATTTGTGGAGAGTGAAAAGTATAACAGCTCATCGTCAGAAAAACATCAATATGTTGCTGATGGAAATGAAAAAAACTCGGAGGCATTAGGAGTCTCTGAACATTTTAAGCCGATGAAAATTCTTGATGGAGAATGTATTCAACCCAACCCTATACAATCCAAAGAAACATTGGAAACAAAAGCAAGCAGAGAAGTGGTAAAAGTTGCAAGGAGGAACACCAAAAGCAGCCTAAAAATCGTTGATGTAAAAATTGTTCAATCTAATGCTTCAAAAATTGAAGGATCAGGAAAAGAGATACACGGAGCTAGTGTACTTTCTCACGGTGGCAAGGCCTCTTCGGAGAAAGGATGGAAGATGAAGAACAGCAGGAATAAGAAGAGCTTACCAAAGAAAAAGATAAAAAAGAACACGATGAATGCACCTTCAAAGAAGAGAAGTGGTACTCCCTCTGATTCGCGAAAGAGACGCAATACATCTATTCCGAAAAGTAATGCTAAAGTTTTCCCGGTGGTACGTACAGTTTCATTGCATTTCATTGATATTTTGTGCATTAAGATCTTCTGCGGATATGTTGATATATCATAAAACTTTTGTGGAGACTGCAATCAAGGGTTTTCAGCAGTCTTACATGAGATGATATTGTCTTGTTTTTTTCTTTCAAGTGAATAATACCATTAGGTTGTATTTTTTTTTTCTGTTTATCATAGTTTGGGCTTTCATTAGTTACTTTTGTGTTACTTTCTTTTCTCTTCATAGGGTTTTATAAGACCTAGAGATGACAAAGAATACCGCGAAGAATTAATCTCTACAGTCGTAAGAGTTTGGTGTCCAAAGGACCAACGGTAAGTCCCTTGAGCTACCTATGACACTTGGGTGCCTCTATTGATCAACAGTAACTCTGGACTAGTTATTTTTATCATATTAATTACAATTTTATATCTTATAAACATCAATTCTTGATTTTTGACGTGTGTGTAAGAATCCAAAGTTATGTGCTTTTCATTCGATTCAGTGCAATATGGTCGTATCATCCTCCACGGCCATAGGCAACACGTTTGAGTTGTTTTATGGTTTTCGTCAATAAAATCCTGTCAAGGGTTTACGGCTTATGGTTGATCAACTATTGGTGTAATTTGTTACTTTCATGCATTTTAAAATCATTGTTTCTTTATTTGTATTATGTGCAAAAGGTTTTTTAAAGTCAATCACACACATAAAATCTCAAGAACAAGAGCAGAATGGCTACCTATTTTGGCTAGTTAATTATTACGTTGCATTACCCTTATTTTAGCTGTAACTTTTACTTTTAAATTAGAACATGCACTAAAAGATGTGGATTTTTTGCAGGTTCTATCTTGGAAAAGTTGAGGCATATGATCCAACTAAGCAAGAACATATGGTAATGATAATATTATACTTTTTGATAATTGGTTTAGCCCATTAACCATCGGAAATATTTGTATACTCTTTCAATGACTTTTTCGGAGCTACCACATTTTCATATGGATTCTCGTCTTTGTTTCAGGTAAGTTACCTTGATAATGATATAGAGTTTTTGAAACTAGAAAATGAGCTATGGTTACTGCACAAGGCGCGAGCGGAATTCTTAGATTTACAAGAAATGTGGGAGAAAATGTTGAGCTAAAAATGGAAGGGTATCATGGAATTTTTGTCGTACTTATAGTGATTCAACACTTCAATAAAGTGAATGTTATTGTCCAATTTGGGTGAACTTAGAGCTGCTAATGGATACCAGTGAGCTTCATGAGTAAGTTTGTTCCTTTTAGTAGTTTTTGGATTAGACATTTCTTTGAATGTTGTTGTGCAAACCAGACTCATTATGCTAAATGTAGAAGTGGAATTGAAAACAATTTGAGACAATTAGTTCCTCCAATTATATGAATTTCATTTAGTGAGAGAAGTAATGGTGATTCTCTTTCACCTATTTTCTTCTTTAAACAAAAATAAATATTTCTTTCTTTTTTGATCTTTTTTTTTCTTGGATTATGGCCAGGTTCGTACATACCATGTATATTTTGTTGATGAAAGATTCAATGGCTAAATCTTTCATCAATTCATACAAATTATAGTTACAATTCCGATAAAATGATATTAACCATTAATTAGTTGTGTCACAGCTAAAAGAGAACTGAATTATATATAGGTGCTTTGAGTTTGTTTATAGTTTTTGTTTGAGAACCATTGATCCTAGTTCGATACCATGTTGTGTTACAGCTTCATATGAATTTACAACTTTGAATGTACATGGATGTACAAATTAAAAAAAAACTAAATCTTCGTTATCCCAAAAAAAAAAAAACTCTCGAAGTTGCTTTTACTCTTTATTATTACAACTTTATTACAATTAAATATATATAAATGATGATTTATCAAGTGGCTTATAATACGTAATGAACAAATTCATCATCCATTATTTAGACAAAGACTTTATGGCAAATACTCGAATTTCTGGCATATACAAATAATGTGTGTTGAAGCTATACAATATAATTAACTTCAAGCATAACATTTTTGTCATCATGGTTGTGATGAATTTAACCAAATGAAGGTAATCAAGCACTCCAAATTCATTATGACTTTCGTGTGGTTCTTCTGGAGAATTTCATCATATATTTGCTATATCTCTGTTTAACGATCCCACTAACCTTTTCACCACCACCAATTAATGGGAAACCATTTGAAATTTGGAATGCTAGCAGCAAAGAATACAAAGGATTGTGACTGTGAATACAAAATCCCAACTTCAAATGAAGGTGGCCGTGCTCACTCGAGCAGACACACGCACAAAGGAAACTAATTAATTAGAGCATGAACTCCAACATGCGGATTATGCAGCCACAAAGGAAGTGACAACTCCGAAATTTAAAGATGATTTGATAGCCATCAACCAATGTCGAATTCACGTAATTAGAGCATGAACTTGTTGTCATGTAGAGAACAACAAAAGCTCCAGATCTCTTAAACCACTTATATTATTACACTCCATTTATTCATTTTATTCTTTTCCAATGAGGTGCTAATTTCAACCTCGTAATTTGAATGCTTAGCCCGGGTTACCCTCATTCAATTTAACTGTTCATCATTACTCACATATGTGCACAAAGGGAGATAAAATATACCTCACATGCATTAAAACTGAACGATGAAAAGTTGCGAGAAACACAGTCTATTAAGTTTTTCTTTCCAAAGAATACAACTCATTGATTATTAATGGTATTGAATTTTCTAGGTTCAACTTTCTAATTTATGTTATTATTAACCGGGATAAAAATCTTCACTTCTAATTGAAACATTATTCCCACCATCATTCAACTGGGGAACGTGATCACATTTTGCAAATAGTACTTAGGAATCTAATCTCATAAATTAGGAATCCATTGCCTTGTCTACATACACACTATTATCCAACTTTGAAAATCAATTTCAACTATTATATTTCTTTCCTCTTTCTGTAAGTTGAAGTTTCATTCGGTGAGAAAAAAAATATTTTTCCATTTTTGTAATCCTTTTATTAATAACTATTTAATGAAAAATCTAGATATTTTATATTACTAAAAAAACGTTAATTTTTTCCATTACTAGCCAACTTCTTTTGACTCAAACACCCCCCTCCCCCTGCCCCTATGCCTGGTTTCATCGTCTAACAAAACCACTTCTTCCTAATTGTTTTCCTGGCTCTCGGATAGACTCTTCTCTATTAATTTATAATCATTGTGGCAGGCGATTGTTTATTCTTGTGTATGTTGATGATATTATTATTATGGGCAACTCCTCTTCTCACATTTCCAAGGTGATCTTTGCCCTATCTATTGAGTTTTCCCATGAAGATATGGGCCATCTTCACTTTTTCCTTGGTATAGAAGTCACACCGCACAACATGGGTCTCCTTTCCCAACATCGGTATATCCTTGATCTTCGTCAACAAGTAGGTCTTTCTGATTCCAAGCCTGTGACTACCCCCATGTCTCCATCTACTTCACTCACTCGCTCCTCTGGACGGTTGTTTTCATATTCGACCAGGTATCGACAAATTGTAGGTGCTTTGGAGTATCTCACACTTACACGCCCAGATATCTCTTTTGTAATTAATAAAGTCTATCAATTCATGCATTTTCTTCCATATGATCATTGGATAGCAGTTAAGCGCTTTCTGTGTTATTTACGAGGTACCGATACATCTGGCTTACTCCTTCGTCGCCTGTCGCCATTTACCTAGTCAACTTTTGGTCATACTGATTGGGCTGGTTGTCAAGGTGACCGCCGTTCCACAGGTGGATTTTTTGTCTTCTTTGACTCCGATCTTATCTCTCGGTCCTCGTGTAAACAGAGTACTATCTCTCGCTCATCCACTGAGTTTGAATACAAATACCTTGCTGATGCTGCTGCAAAACTTACTTGGCTTCAATCTCTTTTTGTTGAGCTTGGCTTCTAACTATGCTCTGCTCATGTGCTCTGGTGTGATAATTTGGGTGCTACATATCTTTTCACCAATCCAGTTTTTCATGCTCTAACTAAGCATGTGGAGATTGACTTTCACTTTATCCATTGAAAGGTTGCCCGTCGAGATCTTTTGGCTTTTGGCTTGTTTCATCTCCACACATGATGGCTGACATTCTTACAAAATTGCTATCAACACCACAGTTCATCTTTTTGCGCTCCAAGCTAGTTGTTGCTTCCTGCCCTTAGCTTGCAGGGGAGTATTATTAGATATAAATTATGTCCTTTTGTTCTAATTATTTTGATTCAATTGTACTACATATAATACCCTAGTAACCCTATCAATTATGCAATATATACTTTTCCAATCCTATTACTAGGCATAGGCCTTTTTTTATAGTTATCTAAACTCTCCTATTGTATCATGCAGCTTAAGAACAAACTTTTGTTGAAGCTAAGCAATCGAAAATTGGTCTCCAAATATAAGTTTTAGTGGAATGTCTATGGAAATCAAGGGATAGTTCCGTCACAGATAGGATTAGAAAAGACGTGGAATATCCAAATAAAAATCGTGTCACCATAGAAGTGGTTGGCTTAGGCGCTTCAAATGGCGATAGTTGGGTTGAAGAAACGGAAGGAAAAAGACACAACTTAGCTAAGTGATATTCAGAGACAAAATGGTGTAGAATTAATGGAGAGGTATGGATTAAAAATCCCTAGATATAAACAAGAAAACGTGAAATTCTGGGAAGAAATGGGGATATGTATGTGTGTGACGTGGCACAAGATCTTCTGTGATACTTTCTTGTGACACAAATTCAATTAATTCTTATAAATCATATATATAATCTATCTTAATACATATATTCTTCACAATCCTTTTTGAACTTATACATTTTAGTACTAAGGATTCACTTTTTTTGAGTTAGAGCTTATTATTTTAATTTTTATAGTAAAAAATTCAAATAAAAATAGTCAAATTTCATTAAAAAAATAAATCATTGGTATAAAAATAAAATAATAATATGAAATTATCTACATAGAAGATATGTGATTACTGTATATCTATTAACACAAATTATATAATTTATAAGAAGTAAATCGATTGTGTCACCATGCTGAGCATGATCCACATCCCAAATGACACCATGCTGCCATCAATTATCAAACCAAAACAGGCTATTTCCCGTCTTATATTAACTTAGTATTGCTTATAGCCCTTGTTTCAACCTTCGAGATGCAATTCCAAGAAGTTTTCTTCTTTGCTGCATTTGAAAGCGAGGCAATGAACTTACTCCATGAAGTCATCTTTTGCTTGAGCTTCCACCACAACTTCATAGTCAGAGCATCAACAACACCTTGGGAATCGTGCAACCCTAGATCATTCTCTGAAACAGGATAAGTAATCCTTTCCCAAGATCTCCAATGCCTTCTAGTTGTTCCGTCCAGGCCACTCCACAAGAAGCTTTGGCATTTCCTTTCCATTGCCTTTAGAACAGATTTTGGTGGTGGAATAGCTGAGAAAACATGAACTGGTAGTGATGCCAATACATGTCTTAATAAAATAAGACGACCTCCAAGACTCAGTAACTTATTTTTCCAACCAAATTTTAGCATCCATGCTATCCAACAAGAACTGGAATGTATTGGCATTATCAATAACATCACATTATCAATAATGTCTCGCCCCTTTAAAAATGCTATTGTTCATCCGAGATTATCTTGGGCAGCACAAACTTTAACCTTTCCGTCAGAATCTTCGTAAAGACTTTGTTCAAAAAATTGCACAAACTTATCCGTCTATAATCAGAAAATGTAGTGACTGAAGCTATCTTCGGAATGAGAGTTATCAAGGTACTAGTTATAGAGCGTGGTAATGGCTCACCAAGCATAAACTCTTTTGCAACCACTCCAAAGATCATTAACAATGATTTCCCTGCAACTTCTATAGAATGCTCCTCCAAATCCATCAAGTTCTATAGAAGGTACTGGTTATTTATGACTACACTTAAGTTCAATGCCATTTCCAAGAAGAAACAAAAATAAAACTCGATGTTCACAAGTATTGTTTTAAAATTATTTTAAAAAATTGAATCTACTCGTGATGAGTCTACATATTTGGATAAAGTTTAAAAAATTGAATCTACTCGTGATGAGTCTACATATTTGGATAAAGTTTGATTATTT